AAATAATGTTAGATTTGTGGTATTGTGAGTGTTAATAGAGCAGAAATCTTTCATCATCAGGGCTAAGTCTATAGAGAGCCAGACTACTGATCATACTTGGAGTAAAAAGTCCCTTTGAGAACTTAATGGAATGTTCTAGGTCTTCTCTCCAGAGAAGTACCTATTTCATTTTTTAAAAACTAAATAGCCAGTGGTATGTTTTGATTGATATCAAGTGGAGATGGGATGGGGAATATGGAAATAAGATGGAGAAAAATACTAGCTATGAGAGAATATTCCCTTCATTAGTGGCATGCTCAGTCAGCCCTTATCTTTATATTCCAGTAACTTATTTAGCACTCACTATTTAATATAAAAGAGCAACATTAAAACTCTTGCAAACCTTACTTGGTTAGAGAATTTTAATATTTTTCGTTTACCAGTGTAAAAACAAGGGCAGTTTTATAATATTTCTGTCTGTAGCTTTTACATGCGGTTCATCTTTAAGTAGAGATAGATTACTCTGAAATAAATGAATCCTAGGTAGTTTTCCCTTCAAGTAAAACACTTTGTTATTTAAATAGACTTCTTATTTAAAAAAAAAAAGAGATGTGCATGCAGTTATGGACTGACACTGTCCGTGGACCCACTTATAGAGCAGGTAGCCATTATCGTTACTTCTTATTAACGGTGATAGGCACAACCTAAATATAGTTTGGTATTTGGGAAGGGAGGTGATTTTCAACAAGGTAAGCAAGTTGGCATTCTAAGAAGCGGGGACGTTTGATTCTCTGAGGAGACCTTACTGAACTCAAGTGAGAAGAAAAGGAGCAGTTGGGGTAATGTCACATCTCTCTGATTTTTCCTTTTGTAAGGGAATAATCTTTAAAATTATAATAAAGTATAGTATACTACCAAACTTGTTTCTCTCCATTATAGTATATTTAGCATTTTGAAATTTGGTACAAAAAAATCTTAAGGTGAAAAATTTTGCTTAGGAAAAATTTTCTTGCAAACACAACTCTGGAAGGAAGGAGGCTCATGGCTTCTCTCTGTGTCTAGGTCCTTTTCAGAGTTCTGACAGGAAAATTCTATTAAAAAGTTGCTTATAATTATGATCCTTCCAGAAATCTTCCTTTCCTACTACTTCAGAATCTATTAGTGTATCAATTTTTTGGTAACACTTTAGCCAAAAACTGTTTAGTTTTAAACATTGATAATTAAACCTGTGATGTATGGTTGGGTTTTTTTTTAATTAAATACATAATTAGAATAAAAGTTACCTCAAGAGTATTTTTGAAGAGTTTTTCTGTTGAGAATAAACAAAATTTCCAACTGTTCTCAATCTGCAGCTGAAATTTATTTGTCATAATAGCTAAACAAATGTGGGAAAGGAATGTAAACTCAAGATAAATCAGGTTGCTGACACTAAAAGTTCATTTTTCTTCCTGTTGTCTTTTTTTTCTCAACAGCTCAGTTTTGTAAAGAAACCTTTGCTCTGTTAGTGTATTTTTCTGCATTGAGTTTTTGTAATATGAAACAAAAACTTTGATATTCTTGATGGAAGTCATTCTCATTTAACATTACAGTGCTAATTTATTTGACAGACTAGTAAAAATGACTATATTTGATCCTTAGCTTCTGTGGAATTAGAAGGTATTTATGGATTCATTCTGATTTGCTTATTAGAATATTTTAGAAGACATTTTAATTTTCTTTAGAATTTAGGTTTATCTTAAATTTAGAAAAAATATATATGAGTCATAATTTCAGAAATAAGATACCAATCTAATTTAAGTGATCATGCCACTATATTAATAAATTAGCCATTAATTCAAAATATTTTGATGTTAGTGATTATTATAACATTTTGTTCCCAAATATAAAATAATATAGCCAATGGCTTTATTAATTCTTTAATCTTCAGTACAATGACACCTATTGCTTATATATTTTCTTTACATAGTAGCTAATAAAATAATAATAATAAAAATTAGAAAAAAAGAAGTTAGCTTTTTTAGAGACCTAAGCATTATTTATTCAGATATATGATTGTCTCAATAAAACCTAATATTCTTTCATTACTACATTAAATGTTTTAAGTAAAGATCTATTTCCCCTAAGAATATTGAGCTCCACTGATCAGTCCTGAATTTAAACATAAGTGGAACAACTTTCTTGCTTATAATTTAGAACTTTTTAAAAAGTTTATTTATTTTGGAGAGAGAGTGAAAGCAAGTGAGCAGGGGAGGGGCAGAGAGAGAGAGAGAGAGAGAGAGAGAGAATCTCAAGCAGCCTCTAACACTATCAGTACAGAACCTACAACTCATGAACCATCAGATCACGACCTAAGCCAAAATCAAGAGTTGGATGCTTAACTGAGCCACCCAAGTGCCCATAGAATTTTTTAAGGTCTGCCTTTATAATTTCCTGCTCACACTTTGTATCTAAAGAGTGTCGTTTTAAGATTTAAACATCTTAAGGCACCTGGGTAGTACAGTCAGTTGAGTGTCCGACTTCGGCTCAGGTCATAATCTCAGCGGTTTGTGAGTTTGCACCCCGCCTGGAGTCTGTGTTTCCCTCTCTCTGCCCCTCCCCCAGTCAGCTATCTCAAAATAAGATAAATAAACATTAAAAAATTAAAAAATAATAAAGAAGGTGATGGCTCTGTTACACTTGAACTTGAGAGAACAATAATAGGGAATGATATTTTAAGAAAGTTAAAATAGCTCTAGTATGATTTTTCAAAACTGTTTAGTGTCAGAGGTGCCCCAGGACCACCCCCCAGTTTGAGGATTCACTAGAGGACTTACAGAACCGGGTATATAGTTGTACATATGACTAAGATTTATTGTGGTACAAGAATACAAAGCAAAATCAGCAAGGGGAAAGGGTACATGGGATCAAGTCCAGAAGAAAAGACACTCGGGTTTCCAAAAGTCTTTTCTCAGTGAAATCAGTCAAGATGTGTTCCTTCCTATAGCAGTGAATTATGACAAAACATGCAAAAACTGGAAAAGCTCTTCAGAAACTGAGTACGTAAGACAAGCTTTTTTTTTTTTTTTTTTTTTTAACTTTTAAAGAATGTTCATTTAGTTTTGAGAGAGCCTGAGAGGGAGAGAGAGAGTGCAAGCAGGGGAGGAGCAGAGAGAGGGAGACACAGTATCTGAAGCAGGCTCCAGGCTCTGAGCTGTCAGCACAGATCCTGACTTGGGGCAGGAACCCATGGACCATGAGATCGTGACCTGAGCCAAAGTCAGACGCTCAACTGACTGAGCCACCTACGTGCCCCAAGATAAGCTTTTTACTGGGGCTCCTTATTTTGTCACTGTGCCTAGTTTATACTGTAAGTCCAGCAGAAGGAAAGCAGGTGTTCAGCATAAACCGTGTTGTTTATACAGTTTAGGCACAGTGAGCTGCTCTTATCTTTTACAGGAAGTTTTTTTAAAAATTTTTTTAATGTTTTATTTATTTCTAGGAGAGAGAGAGAGAGAGACAGCGTGAGCAGGGGAGGGTCAGAGAGAGAGGGAGTCACAGACTGAAACAGGCTCCAGGCTCTGAGCTGGCAGTCAGCACAGAGCCCGACGCAGGGCTCGAACCCAAGAACCGCGAGATCATGACCCAAGCGAAAGTCGGACGCTCAACTGACTAAGCCACCCAGGCGCCCCCTACAGGAAGTTTTATATGACTGTAGGGAACTGTTTACTGGCCAAGTCGTCAAATGCCTGTTAGAGGCCAACCTTGCAAGGCCTTCCTAAGACTAGGCAGCAGCCTCAGATCTGTTTTGTTAGTGTTCATCCCAGATACAAGAGCATTGGAAAAACTAGGTATTCTTTTTTTTCTAAGTTTATTTATTTATTTTGAGAGAGAGGGAGGGAGGAAGGGGCAGAGAGAATCCCAAGCAGGCCACAGGACTTGATCTAATGAACCTTGTGATCATGACCTGAGCTGAAATGAAGAGTTGGATGCTCAACCGACTGAGTCACCCAGGCCACTCCAGGTGCCCAGGAACCTAAAATGGTAGGATAGTGGACATGATTGAATTTGAACTTTCTTTTCATTGAAATAATCTCAACGTAAGCAGTATAATTAAGGGCATTTAGATTACTGGTCATTCTTATTGTTGTTTCAATAATTATCATTGTGATACTTCACTTGAGAGAAACTGCTATAGTATCATATCATTCCAAAGTATGTATTTTATAATTTAAGCTACCTAAAGTTTTTTTTTTTTGAAATGACAGTATATAATAATAAATAACAAATGACGCATGGTCTTCTCGCTCAAACTGGAACCAGCACAGATAAGGCCTCCTGTTAAGCAAATGAATAACTGTGAGTGAGGAAAGTGGCGGTTTTGTCTCTTGTTTACCTGTGTCATGAACACACAACACTGGATATTGTGTTAAGCTGGGGTTATTGTCTCTTGTTTACCACCCTGTGTCCAGTGCTGAGCACAATATCTGGTGTGTAGTAGGTGCTTAAATGTTTATTCAGTGAATGAATAAGTGAGTATGTGAGTGAAAAGAGTGACTGTTAAGATGTCAGGAAAACTTAGTTCATAAAATACCAGAAGAATGTGAGGAGGAGGGGAAAATACATCTCTGCTGTTTCATAGAGATTATCCAGGATTCTCTACTAATTGTCTTAATTTAGATGACTCTTCTGAAATGTTGAAATAAGAATAGGAAGAGAGAAATAGCTTCCTTTTCAAAGGGATAGGATGTAACAGTGTTTCAATAGCGTAATATCTCCTGGTAGACCTTTTAAAGAGAATTTCCAAGGCACTGAACAAATGTAATCTGACTCCTTTCCTGTTTTGTTTTGTTTTGTTTTGTTTTGTTTTGTTTTGTTTTGTTTGTTTCAGAGGATGGTCCCTCAGTCATGGTTGTCTTTTTTAAAATAACATTTAATTGATATTTTTATTTTCCTTAGAGATCTAATAGATTGAGAAAAGAAAGGCTCAATGCCCAGTCAGACTGCTACCACTTCACCAAAATGTTTCCTTATTTCCTTTCTAGCAGCACCCAGGAGACTTCTCAGCAGTTGGCCCCATCAGTAGCTTCAGCTCGGAGCATGCCTGAGAAACAAGAGAGCCCAGCAGCCACCAGACCGGGGGTGGCAGGTCTCAGAACTGCGGCTGCCTTCAAGCCGCCAGGACCCACCAACGTTATCAAGTCACCAAGCTGGCAACAGCCAAACCAAGCAGGTAGCCCAAAGAAATCTCGTGTTTTTTGTTTTTCTTAAGTGTAATTAATTATGAAAATGTCTCATAGGATATATGATAGGATCCACTGGTGAAACCCATCCTCGACCATCTCAGCTTTAAAAAGGGCTGCAAGGAATCGCTATAGCTATTTTCCTCTGAAATATCTCATAAACATTCTGTGTGTATGTTTGATAGAATGGCCATTTGCTATTCATAATTATAGGAATTTCTTTGTTTCCCAGATTACTCAAGAAGCATGTGTGAATTGTAAAGTTGGGGTCTTACTAATGAACTATTTTGGGGTCAACTAATGAAAGTTAGCCTTGGAAATATAGCATTTTAGTTTTGATGATATATACAAAATAATAACAGAAGCGTTTACTGTCATCAACCACTGAAGGAGGAATCTTTGCCTTCTTGTCCTCTGAAGACTTATGAGGCAGAATTGCAAGAAGGCAGTGCAGAAAGAGCACATGTTTTATTTTATTTTAATTCTATTTAATTTTATTTAAGTATACTTGACATACAGTGTTATAGTAGTTTCAGCTTACAACATAGTGTTTTGACAATCCTGTGCGTTATACTGTGCTCACCACAATAAATGTAGTTACTTTCTGTCACCGTACAACATTATTATATCACTGACTAGATTCCCTATGCTGTACTTTTTATCCCTGTGACTTATTTTGTACCTGGAAGCTTGTTCTTGTTAGTCCCTTTCTCCTATTTCACCTGGCCCCTCAGTGCCCTTACCCTCTGGCAACCACCACTTAGTTCACTGTATTTATGATTCTGTTTGTTTTGTTTATTTGTTTGTTTATTCATTTTTTTAAATTCCACATATAAGCGAAATCATAAGGCACTTGTCTTTCTCGGACTTATTTTACTTAGTATAATACACTCCAGGTCCATCCATGTTGTTACCAGAAGGCAGGATTTTATTCTTTTTTATGGCTGAGTTCTCTTTTATTACATATATGTGGGGTGTGTGTGTGTGGGTGTGTGTGTGTGCGTGCACATGCACACACACACACCCACACACACACACCCCACATATATATATATGCCACATCTTTTTTATCCATTCATCTGTCGATGGACACTTGGGCTACATCCATATCTTGGTTATTGTAAATAATGCTATAGTAAACAAAGGGATTGTGTATTTTTTTTGAAATAATATTTCTCTTTTCTTTGGGTAAATACCCAGTAATGGAATTAGTGGATCATGTGATATTTTTAAGTTTTTGAGGAATATCCATACTGTTTTCCACAGTGGTTGTACCAAATTACATTCCCACCAGTAGTACACAAGAGTTCCCTTTCTCCATCCTTGCCAACACTTGTTATGTCTTGGGTTTTTTTGTGTGTGTGTTTTTTTTTTTAGCCATTCTGACAGGTGGAAGGTGAGATCTTATTATGGTTTTGATTTGCATTTGCCTGATGATTAGTGATGTTGAGCATATTTTCATATGTCTGTTGGCATCTGTATGTCTTCCTTGGAAAAATTTGTATTGAGGTCCTCTGCCCATTTTTTTATCGGATTATTTGTGTTTTTAGTGTTGACTTGTTTAAGTTCTTGCTGTTTCCAGGTGGCACCTTAAATGCAGCGTGTCCAAAAATACTATTACCTATCCTTGGGAATGGTACATACACCAGTCACCAAAGCGCCAATGTAAGCTTGAGCTTTCCCACCTCTACCCCAGTGCTTTCACAGTAACTAACACCTAATGATTTTACTTCTTAGTATTTCTCAAGTTTCTTTTCTCCTCTCTATAGTAAGAGCCATTGCCTTGGTTCAGGCCTTTGTCATTGCAAACAGCTTCTAAGTAATTTCCCTGTCTCTTTCTCACCCCATCAATCTGTCCTCCATACTGTAGCGAATATCTTTGCAAAACTCTGATTTGCCCATGTTACTCTCCTGTTGCAGATGCTTTACTATATTTCTCGATTTCTTAACTTCTCATGAAGTCTGTTTTCACTCTGATTCTCAGTAACGTCTCAGTGTCCTCTCCAGCCGCTTCCAATTTGTAATCTGTGCCAGAGCCTTACTAAAGAATCATAAGTTACTGACACATGCCATGTTACCTTGCTTTAGAATGTTCTAGTCCTTCATAGACTTTTTTACCTGGACTGCTGTAGAATTCTAGTCTTTCCTCATCAGTGTTGGGATAAGTATTGATTAAATACACAAAGGGGTGCTTTTAAATATATATATTTTAAGAATTGTTTTAATGGTTGATCATTTATTATTAAAGACTCACTTTTACAGCTGGAAGAGTGATTTTTTTTAGTTAGTTTAATTTAGGAATTCCATCTTTTGCTTTGTATCTTCCAGTGTTTAAATATATTAGACATTAAATAAGTTTGTTTATTATTAATTGTTATCTTTAGAAAACTACTAATTATAGTTAAAATTTATTTCATATTGTCATTTTGAACAGTATGAATTATCATTATGTGTTACTAAGTTTTCAAGGAAGCTAAAATTTTTTGGTGGAGGAGGAGCAAGAAATAGGCCATTGCATATGTTCTAGACTATTTTAAAGAAATGACCATCATCTTACTTGTAAAAACTTAAAATACTCAGACTAATATCATTAGATTGTGAAATCTCTAGACTGTTAATAGATGTAGCAAGACCTATTCTCTTGGGAGAAAATGCTCCCAAGAGCATTGTGGTTGTTGTTGTTGTTGTTTTAATTTTTAAATTTATTGATTTATTTATTTTTGAGAGAGCACAAGCAGGGGAGGGGCAGAGAGAGAGGGAGAGAGGATCCAAAGTGGGCTATGCACTGACAGACTGACAGCAGCAAGCCTGATGTGGGGCTTGAACTCATGAGCCACAAGATCATGACCTGAACCAAGATGCTCAACTGACTGAGCCACACAGGCACCTCCAGATTCCTATGTTTTTAATTATTTACCATTTACTTGAAGCTTATGCATGACTGTGGATATTTGCTGTAATTATCTTGTATGTGCATTAGAATATAGAAAGTAATTTCGGGGCGCCTGGGTGGCTTAGTCGGTTAAGCGTCTGACTTTCGCTTAGGTCATGATCTCGTGGTTCGTGGGTTCGAGCCCCGCGTCGGGCTCTGTGCTGACAGCCAGCTCAGAGCCTGGAGCCTGTTTCAGAGTCTGTGTCTCCCTCTCTTTCTGACCCTCCCCTGCTCACGCTGTTTCTCTCTCTCTCTCCTAGAAATAAATAAAAATATTTAAAAAAAATATAGAAAGTAATTTTAAGAAAAATCTCTTTGGTGTAGTAATTGGAAGTAAACATGAGAATGTTTCTTAAAAGTGAGGGGAAAACTATATAAGGTAGAAACTAAAGGGAGGACATTAACTATGTACATTGCAGAGGGCAGAAAGTATATGTACTGCTTTTGGAAATTCAGAAACTCTGGTTAAAATACCACTGTGTTAAAGTGAAAAGAAAAAATTCCAGTCGAGGTGGACCTCCTGGGGAATACACTACAGCAAAATTGCCACAAGAGGGCAACAGAATCCTGTCTTTTCTGAGTGTAATTTATAATTATCAAAGCAGTCAAATAACACAACTGTAACCATGACTCATATGGTTAGTATTTAACTTCTTACAGAAAATATAAATGAATTGAATTTGAGCAAAACTGTAACAGTATAAAATACTACACATTATATGACATTATAAAGCATTAATATTACAAGAAGAAAATATGTTTTACCATTGTGAATCATAGTTGAATTATATCATGATGCTTAGCTCAAACTAGAAGATATTTGCCACACTCTCACTGTTTATCTTGCTCTAGGTGCTATATTCTGACATTTAATCTGTATTATGTGATGTAAAAATTACTTATTTTAGACTATAAAAATTATAAAACAAATATAAAATTCGCAGCCATGCAAATTGTTGTATTTCACTCTACCTAATAGTGTGCCATATTTAAAAACAAAACCAAACAAAAATGCCTCAGCATCTATTCTTACTCTTTGATAAGTAGTTTTAAGGCTTTCTGATGCAAATAAAAAGATTATTTTGATTTACAGGGGGATAGCTGTCTCATTATGGGTTCTCACATTCTTCACAGTTCACCTGTGAAAACTATGGTACCAATGAAGGGGAGGCAAAAGCTAGAGAGGCTTGGTAATGCTGTACCAGTTGATAAAGAGGAAGTAGGTGTATATGTGGCAACATCATAGTTTAGATTGGATCATCTTCTTTTTCTCACTCAGTTTAACATACACCACCACATGTACACAAACTTGTCCGTGACTGGCAAAGACCCAACTATTTTAGGATGCAAGGTGCTCAGGAGTTCATCTGCATGAAAGTATTAAGACACAAAAGAAGTAAGAATCCAGGCTTGAGTATTATGTAAGCCAACAATACTACTTCCTCCTTGCCCTGTGCCTTTAATAATTTCATAATTCGGATATAGTAGTGCCTTTAGAAATATTAACTTGATGTAGAAAGATACATAAAAGGTGACATTCTTCTTGTTAGTTTTCAGAATTGGGGATTTATACTTTTTTAAACTTCTGTTTTAATTCACTATATTTGTATGTCTAATAGATTTTGTAATGCTTGAAATCTTTATATTGAATATAATTAATAAGTGGTTAGGTAGACATTTTCAAGCTTTCATAAATTTTATGGTTTAAGTTACAAATACGTTCCTGTGTTTATGTAGGTGATCTAATTTGCTGTGTAATGTTTTCCCTAGATCCTCTGTAGGTTATGGATTCCATATTGGATAAGTTTAGGTCATTTGATGCAAATATAAAACACTACTATCTTGCCAAATATAGTCATCTATTCTTCACAAATCCAGTCTTAAAGTCATGAGGAACCATTAGATTTTGGAATCACTTCAGTCTTTAGTTATATATAAAATGAGACTGCCTAATTCATTAAGACTAGGGCTATTGATCATCGAACCCATTTTGCTGACAGACAGGTAGTGGCCCTGGAAAATAAGAGTGTCTGCCCTGTGGGGCATGAAATTCAGAAG